ACTCAGCRCTTTGGTTTCAGCCTGAGCTATGATTTTCTGGGCTGTGAGTGCACATGGCCAGTGCAGGTCCAGCCTCTCATCCACCGTCACCCCCAGGTCCTTCTTGGCAGGGMTGCTCTTGATCAGYTCACATCTGTGAAAAGGAAATATCAGGACAGCAAAACTAAGGTAGTTGTAATAGCAATAGCAAGTMATGCAGCTTCAAAAAGCCTGGAGCAAAGCAGTAAACCAAACATCTTGTTCTGAATGTACCCCAGGTCAAAATTTCTCCCTTTGGTTCCCCTAACCAGGAATGAAGGCAAAATGCTTTACATTGAGGAACASCTGAGACAAACAGAGTTTCCTGGTGTCACTGTATCAGTCCAGAGCTGACAGTGTCAGCCTAGGCTCAGTATTTCCTGACAGTAAAACCCTGACATTTCCTTAGGCAATTTTTGTACTAATAAAGAAGGGCAACAGTAAACCCTTGCAGCCTTTGTTCAAAGGAACGGCGAAACCAATCACACACAGGGAGAGCAGTGTGTATCAAAGCAGGATAAAAYAAGGGTATGCTGCTTTCACTGAGTGAATAGGATGAAAAACAACCAAGAGAATTCACAGAACGTTTTAGGTTGGAAAAGAACTCCAAGATCATCCAGTTCAACCTGTGACCAATCCCCATCTTGTCACCCAAACCAGGGCACTGAGTGCCAGGTCCTGTCAGTTCTCAAAGACCTTCAGGGATGGTGACTCCACCATCTCCCTGGACAGCCCCTTCCAATTCTTAACAAACTTTTCTGTGAGGAATTTTTTTTTCTGATGTCCAACCTGAACCTCCCTGGCCCAGCCTGAGGCCGTTCCCTCTCCTCCTGTCCCTGTTCCCTGGAGCAGAGCCCGATTCCCCGGCTGCCCTCTCCTGTCAGGGAGTTGTGCAGAGCCACAAGGTCCCCCCGGAGCCTCCTYTGCTCCAGGCTGAGCCCCTTTCCCAGCTCCCTCAGCTGCTCTTCATAGGACTTACAAATTTGTATCAACAGCACCCTGGTTTTGCTTTTTCTGCAAAAGTATGACTCCTACTTCCTTTTCTCTGCTGATTTTACCCATCTGCATTTCAAACTGATTTACTTATCTGTACCTTTTATTGCTGTTTAATATAACTTCTGGGTTTAGCCTGGTGTAATGTCCTATTGTTACATGCCTTTTTGTGATTCATATCTGCTTTCTTCTCCATATATATCCATCGCAGCATGCAGCTCTGAGGGATTTATCTCAAGAAAATGCAGTCCCCAGATCAACATTACGACCCCGAAGAACAGCAAAAATAACAATTCACGGCAAAAGCCATGAAGTTAGTATCTGCTATTGATGTTATTAAGCTTTATCCCGTGATACTGAAAGGAAAATTGAGGCTAGAATACTGTTTATTTGCCCCACAAATCAATGTACAGAGGCAATTCAGATACTGGCATACAGAGGTTTCCCTCTTCAGCTAGAAACTTTCATTCACACAATCCTAAAGGCTATTTCACTGAGAGGGTATTATGGAGATGCAATCAATATGGCAAGTGATACTGTGAAATACTTCTTACTTGTTTCCATAAAAACAGTTGTGTTTTCTGAGCCATGTAAAATATTTACAGCATCTGTCAGAGAAAATTCMTGGTTATCCCTGGGGTTGTCTTCAAGACTAAATTAAATATCACAGTCACCATACAGCACCCTTAGCTGCTTAGAAAAAAAGAGCAGTAACAGCAATGATATTGTTTTACAATGGTACCTCTTCATTTCTTCACCTGAAATTTCTAAAGAAAATAGCCTTAACATGTTTCTTAGTGCATTTTGAACTTCTGCCTCTTGGATTTTGTGCTTTTTCCTTCTTGTTTTTTATTTTTTTTATTTTTTTTATTTTTTTTTTTTAGAATTAGAGCCTTTCATAACGCAGTATTTCTTACATGCAAGAAAGACAGGGATCTTTTTGCAACATTAACTTCTATTGCAAACAATCAATTCTAGTTTAAGTCACCATCCACAGTGCTGTGACTCAGAACTCCTGCACACGACTGCTGCCTCAGCCCTACACGCAAACACGGCCCCAGTGAAGCTTTCACTGTCACCCAGTGGGATCTGACATTGCTGCATGCTTCACTTAAACCCAAATTCCATGCTGCAGCATCTGCTAGCAAAAACTCAAAACCCAGAGCTTACAGATCAGTCACCTAAAAAAAAAAACAAAAAAAACCACCTTCTTGAGAAACTGTCCAAAGAGGAAGAGCAGGATTCAGTAGGGAGTGAAATTTCCTTCGTCAGGATGAGGTTTATTATTGACCTCAGAGAATGTTGCTGCCATAGAGATTCATAGCAAGAAACCCCGCTAGATCTGCAGGGCAATAGACATCTTGCTTTTTTAAAAAGAACTTAAGAAATTTTGAAAGAAACTGYAAAATATGTGGGAGAAATGGCTGGGGCTGCTGCATTTTCAGGAGAATTGAGCAGTGAGGATGGGCAATGGCACCTGCCATAAACTGGTGAGAATTTCAGTGTCTGGAGATGGGATGTGAGACCCAGCTTCAGCCTGGAGTAAAAGTCTGTGTGTCTTCACAGAGGAGGAAAGGAGGGTGACAGTCACTGGAGACACCCTCTGTGTGGAGAGGGGACCCCAGTCTGCCAACCTGCCCTGGGGATGTTTTGGGAAGTCTGGTCCTTGCCATGAAGCCAGGACCCAGCATGTTACCAAGGCTTTTCCAGCCCTTGGAGTATTACAACTCATCCATCTGGGCATGGACAGTGCTGCCAGGGTAAATTCAGAGCCTGTCAGGGTGACTGCAGAGCACTGGGGGTAGGGGTGAGTCCTGGGTCCTGCTGCAGCTGGGACTGAAGGGCTCRAGCTGAAGTTTACAGACCTTTCAGGACAACACCTGATTGTGYTGCTGTGGATAATCAGATCACCCACACTTGTGACTACAGGACATTCCCTGGTCATGCAAAGACTTCTTCAGGCACACAATGGCAAAACTGGCACAGAAATGCCAGACATGGCAGAAACAGTAAAGGATTTAATTTTTTTAATTTCTCTTCTTACTGACTTTGATTCTTTGATTCTACTTAGCTATAAATTTCTTTCATGCTGCCACTGTAAACAGTGCCCCATGTTACAAGAGCTGCTCAGGGTTAAAGATATGGAAAAAGGCTTTGAGGACTGGGTAGGACTTTTTGAATTATGGTAATAGCTCCAGGAGTCACTGGGAGCAAAGCAAATAAATGTCAGTGCCAGTTGCAGCAGCCACAAGAGTGCTGTGAGTTGTTCAGCACCTTCTGGAGACATGAAGCAGGGAGCAGGTTGAAAGGCAGCAGCTTACGTAGAGCATATTTGAACTTGTTTTAGGATTAAAAAAAAAAGGTGTTGTTCATGGCCATCTGTGATTATGTATTTTTACCACGTGTTAAGCATGGTTCTACCCATGATGCTGTAAAAATAGAATGGGCTTACAGAATAGTGTTAGACCTCAGGGATTTRTCCTGTAAAGGGGAAGACATCTGTAAGGCCTCCCTCGAAGGTCTGTTGCAACAATTTGAGATACAAATAGCAATCAGAATATTAGCATTGGGACTCTCCCTGAGGCTCACCTTTATTTTATTYGGAAAACCTAAAGATATTTTTGATCTCTGGCCTGAAGAAGCAGGTCTGGAATGTGAACCATGAGAAGCACCACTTTTTGGGGATAACTGTACAATGCAAGGAAGAGGAAARGAGTGCCTTCACGGGATAGAGCAGGGCAGTCTCACATTTGATACCTCTCTCCTGGGGACRGAAGATTTGTCAGAGAGAACAGACCTGCTTGTAACTGTGGAAGATATTCTATTATTTCATRCATTTGGCTAATGAATCCTGGATTTGATTTCTGCTGCAAGGATCAGGGATCCCTTCCAGGTACTGGAGATCACAGTGGGAATCATTAAAAAGCAGTGTGTACCCCAGCTGCAGCTGCCTTCCTTCCCTAGTTTTGTAAACAGTCTGATAAGCTTAGAGACCACAACAGCAAACTTTTATTTGTGTGGAGCATTTGAATGAATGTTTTCTTTTCACCTTCCAAACTCAATGATGAGCTGGTGCCTGACACGACTTCCTTGTCTACAAGGAAGAAGTGCAGCATGACTGGCCAGGGGATGCATTTTGTGTCTGGAAAACAACCAGAATGACAGCAGGAAAATATGACTTGAGTTTTGTTCCTTCCCTCTGATATGTTAGAATTCGTTCTTGTTTTCATCTGTATATCTGCCTCATAAGGCTCGTATTTCCTGTCATGGGCGATGCTCCAAGTTCCAGCCTGAGTTCACAATACAATTCTGGACTAACATTTTGCAAGCAGCTGGGAATAAAGAACCTGTGATGTACCTGGGTAGTACTTGGCACAACAAATCTAATCCACTTCTTTGAGAAGAGGAAGATTTTGCCAGTCTTTTTTTTTTTTTTTTTTAATAGAACATGGGAGGGAAGACCATGAGCACGAACGATAGCAGAGACCATTGGGGGGACAAAAAAAAAGATACATGGTGGGATAATTATTTTGGGATGGGATGAACAAAAGCAGCAGTTTATTCTTGTCTTACACACATGGCACAACATACAGAACCAGCACAAATAACTTACAAAATCTCATACACCATGCTTCCTCTTGAATAGCTTCTATTAAGTTACAACACCATAACGAGTCAGGTATTTAGTTACGACAGATCTCCAGACATGGATAAGTCTCCCATTCAAGGAGTTATTATTTTGTAAGCTACTTAGACAAACATCTTTTTTTGTTTTTTACATGTTTAATACAGTACAGTATCCTTAACAGAGTTCAAGATATTCACAATGAGAATTGAATACTTTATAAAACAGCAGAATTTCTCACTTCAGTACAGGCCTACATTCGCTCTCCTGCCTCTTTCTGGTTTAAAATGTATTACAAGTCGTCTTTACTCAAATTTTCAAGCTAAGAATTGCTTTAAACAAAAGAAA